CGCTATGTGTACTTCAACAAAGGGCTGTGACCTGCCACAGGGCTACACGCATGACCTGGACCATCCTGCGACACTAGTTTGATTTTAAATGGATCTGTGGGACCTGAGGAGGGTTTGGGGGTGGGCGGGCAACATGACATGGAGTGATTTTTTACTAAGTGCTTAAGAACTTGCTTGTGCAAATGTTCTTTTAAAAGATGTTAAATGTTTAGGTTTCTGAAACTCCTCTTTAACCTGTGTTACAACAAGCAGCAGAAAGGTTCATTTTCTCCTAGTGTGTTTTCTTAAAGCTGGTCAGAATGCTAGTTGAAGTGGTGACTTGGAATTACGAGAGCCTAAGATTTCTTCAGGACCTATAGTGACCTTTGGGCAGACAGTGGTTAATACAGTGTATCGGGTCAAGCTTGGAGTAGGACGGAGCACTGGGCTGAAGTCCGCAGCCGAGCGACACTGGGCTGAAGATCACACCCGAGTCCACGCCTGAATGACTTCTCGGACAACGCAAAACAGCCCGATCTTGCTCAAACTATTATGCTGCGGGAAATGTATCTGCATCTGTGCAATATCACTCTAAATGACAATAAAGAGGACAACAATTCTAAAAATAACAAGACTGATTTATTTATACACTGCATATAAATATACAAAAAGAGTCCCAGCAGTCCTCCGTGGAAGGGAGAACGATGGTTTCAACAACGAAAACGGGCTGTGATGCCACCCTATGAGGGCAGTGCTGGTGTTGAGCTGTGAAACCACCATACTCCTGCTGCTGAACCGAGTTGAAGACAGGTAAAGTCTGCATACAGCAGACCATATACATGTTGAAAATTGTCACAGTTTAAAAACTGTAAACCTCAGTCCAGATGTTAGGTCCTATCGGGACCTATCCTGTACCAGACAGTGGATCAGTCCTTTCGCTGTTGACTTTGGCTCTTTTTCTCCCAACTTGACATACCGTAATAGAGAAGACAATCATAAAAAAAAGTATCAAATACATTAAAAAATGTATCCAATTTCTTCAAAGGTCGCTGGTGGCTGCAGCTGAAAAACAAGAGAGGCAAGTGTGAGATCTCCAGCTGTGAAGACTGCTGTCTTCCAGAAGGCCCTAACCCACTGCTCATGTCCAGTTGGCATTTATTTTCTAGTTAACAAATGAAGCAAATATGTCAGTCCTGCAGTTCAGATCTCATTGTAATCTAAAATTATTCTAATCCTAGGAGAGTGAGATCAGGGCAGAACACAATCACTTCTGAGTCGGCCATTGCAAGTGGGAGGGAAAGAGGAATACCTTTATGGCCGCAGTTAGGACTTCCTCTGTTTCTTTTTCGCTGGTTTGATGGGAACAATCTCTTCTTCACTCTCCTCGTCCTCTTCAGTCGCATCGGAATCCTCGTCTTCGTATGCTGCAAGGGAAAAAGAGCACCTCGCAAGGTCAACATTTAGCCTTCCTCAGAAGACAGGTGGCGAAGCACCTATTTCTGTATTTTTACTGAATCGGCGAAAAGCGAAATCCCCCGAGAGCCATGACAAAAGGAACGAGCGCTTACAAAGGCCCGGGACCCTGAGGTCCAAGCATGAGCCCACTCTACTTGTTGCCGGAGATGTCCGGTTCTTATGGCTGTTCATTCAGGAGTTAAGGTCAGGTCAGATTCAGGTCAGCAGTCCTTTATGTGGTTAGTGAAAAGTAAAATAATGTGGGTACAGAATAATAAAACCGGGCAACCTGTCCCATTTTGATTACGGTCTTCCTGAAACGTTTGAACAATTTTAGAGAGAACCCCGTTATGGGTTTCAGGTTTAAGGGAAACTGCAGTCCCTATTTCTCAGACTGCTTCTTAAATCTTGGTAACAAATTGACAGTATAGAAACATTACAAATGCGAATTAGAAAACTTTGTGTAACTACTGTAAGGTTATTGTTGTCGCAAACCCCTGGTCATGCCACGGACAAAAGCGCGTTTACACATTTTGTGACATGATGTGGCCCTTCCTGCCTACTAGTCTCTGTAATGACAAATGTAATGTGATGTACGAGCAAATAACTACAGGTAGTGCAGCAGACATTTCACCGCAGAAATGCTCTAACATGATCTGCAAGAAAAATTAACAAGTAGTATTTGTTGGCAAAACCCTTTCTTGAAAGTTGAGAGCAATATTTCTATTGGAATGTATTCACAAGCCTGCTTGTTTACAATGGAATAGGGCCGATTCACATCACTGGCTGTTTTGTTGCCTCGTTCTGAATCACAGACTGTGACGACAACAGGGCGCAGCGCATTACTGGAAATTTTGTCTGTGTGGTGATGTGAATTAGTCTTTTCACGTTACTGTGTACATTTTATTGTCACTGTGGTTGGAAATGCACTCTTCAGTGCTGCTTCTCTCTAACCCCGAAATACAAAAATTGAATTGCAGTTCCCGTTTAAACGACAAACTGAGAGAAGGTCTTGATGCACTTCTAACCTCTTTATCCGATTCAGGGTTGGGGAGGTGCCATGGAGCCTATCTCTGCAAGCAATGGGCACAAGGCAGGATAAACCCTGGAGGAGCAGCAGTCTATCTCAGGGCACACACAGACACCAATATGCACACATTTACACCACACTCACATCTCTCTGAAGCCTTTTAACCTACTAGTATTTCATTGGATTGTGGGAGGAACCCATGCAAACCGAGAGAGAACATATAAACTCCATGCAGACTGTACCCCAGGAATTGAAACCTTGGGCCCAGCACTGCGAGGCAGCAATGCAACGCACTGTGCTACTGCGCTGCCCAGGTAATCCAACTAATGTGTACACTACCCTTTGAGATGTAGTAACTGAGTGGGGCTCCCATCCCACGAACTAGGCCCTGCTCTCACCAATGAGATGCTGCCCACTGATGCAGACTGGTCCCGAGCCAGACTTCAAGCGAAAGGTCACTGGAGTCCTCAGCTCAAACTCTCCCAGACTGACCTTTGTGAAGAAACAAAAAAAGAAGAGGAGTAAAATGTAAGAGATTACATGGACTGACCTGCTTTATCACCGGGGCTGGAGCTTAAAAAAATATTAAAATAGGTCAGCTTTAACCAGAAACCCTTGATTGGCACAATTCATCCAGTTAATGACTTGACAGAAGGAAGCATGGCAGTACGGCTAAATATTTTGCTACAGAGTATCAATAATGGTTTCAGCTCACAAGACGAATAGGCAACTGTTGGCTTTCAAGTGAAATAGCCAGCTATTGCTCTGTGTTTTATACTTATATCTTGCATTAAATTCTCATGTATGTACATTTTCACTAGAAATACCAATAATATAATTGATCACCATTCATTTCAATGATATTACAAACAAACCTACCAAGAAAAACAAAAAAAAACCATACAAGATAAATAGGTGAGCTTGATAATATTGCTGTGATCTACTGGAGTCTTACTTTTCCATAATTACTTTCTTATTTCTATTAACTTGGGGGAAGAACTGTTCTGATACCTGTGGTTACTACTGCTATTCTCCATCGAGATTTAAGTTATACTAATTTGTCCCATGGTCCCGCTACCTTGTCTATAGTTGACTTCCATTTTTCAGTAAAATTACTCATCTGCAATCTCAATAAAAAGGTAATCCTTTCCATCAGATAAATCTATTTTATTACAACCACTGCCCATAGGTTGGAGGGTTCTTTTTAAGGCAATTTAGTGTGACTGCCTTTTTTGCAGCTTCTAGTACAATCTGTAGCAAGTAAGCCTGCTTTGTTGTATGAATAACCTCTGGTTTCACCCCTAGTATTGACATTACAGTGTCTTTTGGCAAATCTATGTCTATAATGTTATTTATAGCATGATAAACCAATTGCCAGTAAATTTCTAATTTAGGGCAATGCCAGAAGACATGCAAATATGTAGCTATACTCTCCCCGCATTCCCTCCAACAATGGCTAGTGGCACTAAGATTAATTCTAGCCATAATGTTTGGAGTTCTGAAGTATCTGCTTACTGTTTTCCATTGATATTCTCTCCAGGAGGCAGAGTTAGTAACTAGCAGGGCAATTCTAAATCAGCCATCTAAATGCAAAAAATAACTGCAGTTTAGGAAAGGGTTAAGAAGTCCGTTACCCTTGTGAACTAGGTTTAGGACACAATTCCAGCCCCAGTGAAGGCCGTGAGTGATCGCCACAGCCCTTTTCTTACGTTCTTAACGGAGGGAACAAGTGCAACCTACAGGGGAGTGCGTTTAAACACGAAAATAGGAGATACGTCTTTACACAAAGGGTGGTGGGAGCGTGGTACTTGTTGTTGAAGCCAATACCCTAGTTTCTAACCAGATCCTGGGACCAATTAACTACTAACTACCAAACAGGCCTGATTGGCCAAATGGCCTCCTCTGATTTGTGACCTGTCTCATGTTCTCACCATGGGCAGGCAAGAGAGGTGCAAGTTGGCCACGGGCACCGACACCTTCTTGCCATGGTGGTTCAGGGCCGTCACTTCCACTACATTGCTCTCCTCCTTGGCTCCATCACCCAGGCACACCTGCGGAAAGAGAGACCTGAGCCTGAGGGCAGCAGGGAGGGGGGCGGGGGGCGGGGGGCCCAGCTGGCCTTGATCCACAATGAAAAGGTCAAACATCTCTTTGCCAGACCCGTCACTGAGAATCACAACGAAGGTTCACTTCTTTCTAGTGATAATCACTTCAATCTAAACAGCATGATGGAGACCCTCTTGCATCAATGCAGTAACCCCTGAAGGAAACCACTGGCCTTTTGAGTCCTATATAAAAGATAGCAATGGATAACTTTGCATTAGAGAACACTAAAGGAAATAACTCAGTTGCATTCACTGATGTGACTCTTTTCCTTTGTGTGGGAGCGTACTGGTGCACCATGGCTGCTGTCGCATCATCTAGGTGGTGCTGGACATTGGTGGTGGTAGACGGGAGTCCCCATTACCTGTGAAGTGCTTTGAGGCGAGTGTCCAGAAAAGTGCTACATAAGTATAAGGAATTATTATCTTCTCCAAAAAACTCTCCTTGCCATTTTCCCTACGAATAAAACCAACCCGGCCTTCTGCAATTAGAGCACTTTGTCAATTAACATTTTGAGAGATAAATCCTTTTTAATGTCCTTTTTGGTGCTCACTGACTGTCATGGGAGGAAGGTGTTCTCAGAAACTTTTAAGACATGGAAGGGCCGGGAGGAAAACCACTTACTGTGCGCAACTCCAGGAACTGCTCCAGATCCTCCTCTTCATCACCCTGGAATGTGTAAAAAGGGGCTTTGGACGACAGTTCACAACCTGGAGATGCAATAATGTTGTTACTGTCCACCAAAGATGAATGCAATAATGTTGTTACTGTCCACCAAAGATGATTCTTTTTCAAAGAGCTTTACTGGTTTCTCCTGCAACTAGGGAACACTTGGATACAAATGGAAAAGAACATTTAAACAGAGTACAGATGGCATTTTACGCGGCGAGACGCATCAGCCTGAAACTAATCGACCAAGAGTTTCCTGGAGATATTCAGGGAATCTCACAGTCACGAGGGGTCGATCGTCTAGTACTGTTTGAACCCTTTATTTTCTTAAATACGCAGGAATAATAACACCAAAGATGAGTACAAACATAACAACGTCAGATTACGAGTCATGTATATATACAAAAATCAAAACGCTCTGAAAGGCAAATCAAGCAAAGCAAACTAAAGTCAAGGAGCTGCTCAGCCCGACTGCACCACATGGAGAGGCGAACAAACATGTGGCTCTCGACTCAAGTCTTATGTGCAGTGAGCGCGTTTTCACGGCACAAAAACAGAACAGAGTTTTTAATCTCGCTTGGAAACGATATCTTTGATTAACATTTTTTCCCCCCGATGATGCTATATTCGTAAGAAGTAATTACCACTGACAACGCTACGGAGGGCAGAATCGTTATCACAAGAGAAACAATGAGCAAGAGAAAAAACATAATTTTGGAATAGCTAATGAATCCATTGACTAGTATTGAACTGAGCTGTACTCCAGTGGTATCTTGGGTTAATAGGCACATCGCCCCACGTGTGCCAAATTCGCTGGCGCACTGAGCACGTTTTTTTTTTACCAACAACACTCACTGAAGAAGAAACTCTCCATCCGAGCTCGACCTCCGGCGCTGCTACAGCTCTCCGAGCACTCCTCGTCCACAAACGACATTTCTAAGCGGAACGGCTTCCAATCAGATAAATATATACAAAACTGTCTCCGAGTTCAGCCACATCTACCGTTGGACGCCGACACCAAACACAGTGTCGCAGAACAGTGTATGTCATCAACATGCGGAAAGCGAGGACGAGGAGTGTCACAAAATTAACTTTCCCGCATGCTACACACGTCTTACATAAGGTGCCTGCTGGAGCGCTGGTACTCTTTCTTAAAGGTTCCAGCAATCGGAATTTGCAAGTTTTTTTTTACCATGATTAAGAGCAGGGCTAAATCTGTTTAATTCTTACCATCAACACAGTAACTGTGTTTTCCCCCTAAAGACAATCACGACGACGTACGTTTGCATGCTATTCTTGTACACGAACTGTAAAAGACTTGCACAACACTTGAGCTCAGAAACGTCTGCACAGACATCGACTAATGCTTCCAGAATACGTTGTGCGTGTCCTTCCAACAACTGAAAAAAAGCGTTTTTTGTTTCATCGTCAACCGACAAAAACCGGTCATTTTCACACTGAAAAAGGTTAATTGAAAATGTAGGTTCGTCGCAGTGCCCTGAAGCTCTGTGTACCACCAGCAGGCACGGAACAGATCCACGGTCGCTTTTGTTGAACAAGTTGAAAATTGAATCCCGTATTATCACTGCCTTGATGCTCTTGTCCATTTCAGAAAGGAGAGCTAATGGCGTGCGACTGGCACAGGGTCGAGTTTACATGGACAGGTTTGTAGTGAGCGTTCATTTCCCACACTTGCTAGTAATGGTAACTAGTGGGGTTCGTGTGTGCTGACCGGCCCAGATATGGGAGTGGTAAGACACCCCATCTGCACTCCAAGGACATTATCTAGAGGTGCACCATGTTAGGCATTCATCCTCCTTGGAGTCTTGCTATATTAAGGAGAAGTTGCAGCTTCTTGGCAGCCCATCAGTTCTGACTAATACCAAGCAAAAGGCACATCTTCCTTACTCACAGCATAAAACAGGAAATATTTCCTTTGATTTAAGTCAAGACCTTGTGCCCCTTTGCTTTCTATTTAAGAAAGGAAAACTACAAACTCTTAGGTTGCAGGAGAAACTAGACATTTAAAAGTTGAATTAAAATGCAGAGTGTAAAGGGATTCACAGCTTAGTGCAAACATTAAACTATTTAAATTAATTTCAATCCAACTATGATAAGTAAATACAAATATTACATAAATCATATACACTCTTTAACAAACATGTTGACAGAGCAAATGATTTTACTCTAGAAGCCAAATTGTTCCTTTTTTTAAAAATGTAGTGCTACAGAATATACTTCCAATTTAGTTCTGGGAAATATGCCATAAAAAAACTGAAAAACACATCAGAATGAACATTATTCAGTACAGATATGATCAGTGAAAGAGTCTTCTAGTACTTACACCATGATAATCGTACAACAATCTACGACAATCCTGCTTCAACCTAACTGGCAACACTGAGGTAACAATCAGTAATAGGTAAGGTACTGCTCTGCCAAATCTTTAATAAGAATGAGTACTTTTTAAGCTCAGAAGAGGTATATGTAAGAAATGTTTTCATCTCGACAATGAGATAAACTATGACATTACAATAACTGTTGGGACACATTAGATCTTGTGTGGCAAACACTAAGCTAGGGGCTCACATTGTATATAACAGTTCATTTAGGAAAAAAATGCACATTTTTGATTGAATGGCCAAATTATATTCTGGTTGATCTAAATCATGTTAGTTGGACAATTGGATGGGTGAGATGTAGAGGTGGTTCAAATTAAATATTTTTATTGAAATTACATTAGGTGATCACATTAAGAATTAAAACATGGTTCACTAGTTTAACTTACGCTGTGTAAGATTACCCCTAAGAGCATATCGGCCGTACCCTTTAGGAGATCATCAGTGAAAAACGTGTTACTGAATTTTCTTTAGGTTTAGCAAATCAAGAACAAGGCCATGCCTCGTGATACAAAGTCTTCACTTAATGGTTTAATCAGGTAATGAAACACAAGTGAGCACTATAATAAAACTAGATTACAACCATGTAGTCAACATACATAAAAGAAACCCTGAAATGTATAATTGTTTTTTTTTACATAAAAAGAAAAGTAATGTAATTTCAGTACATAATTCCGGGAAGAAAGCAGAAATAATTGCATTTTCTTCAATTCAACTCAGAAAAATATGCCTTTCTTAAGCTTTCAAGGTGGGTATAAAATTGAAGTCATCCCAATCCACAATGATATGGAGAAAATCAGTGACATCCTTATAGCAGGAATAATCCCTCCTCAAATACATTGTCTGAATTCACTGCACTAGATTTCAAATGGTGGAAAAAGTATACGGATTACAATTTCTAAGATAATTCTGCAACATTTAATTTTCCTCAAATATGCAGGAAGAACAAATCCCTCTCAAGACAATAGCTCTGCTCTGTTTCTGTAAGTGCTCTTCTGGACTTATCAACCTTATATCATGAAAAGTTACATAAAGAGCTCACTTAATTCCTAAAAGTAGCATTCACCAAATACGGTCTTAACTAATACCTTAAATCACTACACTTTTGTGTAAAAGACAAGCATATACTTGCAACAGGGATAGTCTCCGTGAACACCCCTCTGCAAGTAAGCAGTAATGCATGAAGTTGCATCAGCGTACATCAGGCACAAAAGCATGCTAGATTACGACAGTTCGTGCCACCAAAATATTTAAAAGCCTTAGTAGGCTATGAGTATGAGTGTGTTAACTGGCAGTTAAGTTTGATATAAAAAAATATAATCCTTTGCTTTCTCTTGTGGATATTGATTTTAATTATAGCCATCATGTACTGGGGCACAAGGATGAAATTGAAATAAATTACTCTACAGAGAAGTCACAGACGTCAGCTTCAGCCACGGTATCTTTAGATCTTCTCAAGTCTTTACAAAGCCCCAGGCCCAACTGGAGGGACAGGTCATTTACTTAAAATAAAAATATAACATTCTGTACAACTTAGAAGCAAGGAACCACATTTCACACTTCATCTGTATTATTTATTAGATGTAAAGGATTTGCACATTGTATTTGTAATTTAGTACATAACAATGAAACCTTCTTCTGAAGGTTCTCTGCAGCAAGTGTCCATCAAAAATACATACTATGTACATTCATATACACATACAAATTCCAAATAATAACATGATGTAAGATAGAAAAACAGCCTAAGTCATTCTAGAATAGCAGAACAGATGTTTAGTGATTGATTCAATCTTATGCATTTTTAATGTAAACCCTATCACTTACTGAGCACAACCAAAACTCACCTCACAATAGTATAAATCGTTTACATTCCATAAGCAGTACATGCTTTTCTCTTTAACAAGTCACTACTGATTCTGAGGATGGACCACACTTCAAGGCATCAGGAAGTGAAAGCACCAGAACATTTTGCTGTCTTACCCATGTTCTCCTGCAGCTGCTGCTGCTCAGTTTCTTGTGCTTAAGGGCTACATATGTATTCACAAAGATGCGCAACACTCATGGAACTGAAGAAAGGTACCAGCGACCATAAATTTTTCACTTCTTTGTGTAGCCACATTGCTCAGCTCACAGTGTTCAAACTGAGAATTACCAAGCCAGGCAAGATCAGTCATGTGCACAACTACACAGAAGGCTCCCAGGTGTATCATCTCAAGGTCTTCTGCTAGCAATAGAGGCCTTTAACTCGTGTGCCCCTCCACATAAAATACTAAGAGAAAATAACATTAAAATGTTATAGAGCAATTTCAGGAAGGTTAGACAAGATGACACTTCCAAAGCCAGCTGCTGCAGATGAAAAGGAGATGAGTACTCAGAAAGGCCTAAACCCTTCACACAGTCAAGCTTACATGTTTAAATTACAACAGTGGAGACAGTGGTAGCACCTTGCTTTCAAATCAAAGCACAGATGTCCCTAATTGGCACTGCAGGAAAGCCCAAATAAAGGAGGAGTTTCAATTTAACAAATGCATTTTGTAATTAAGGGCAGATTTTAAAAACACTAACTTGCACCTATTGATAGTAGTGGTACTATATATGTACACCTTTTTACGCCTTTTGTGGTTTTTGTGGCAAACATGTAGGCCTATTCACAATGAAGCTTTGTACAGTTTTCATTGCAATATTCATTTACTTCACATTCAGCTGGGGTTCACAGGCTCCTTCCCATAATAATCACATCTTTTGGGAATCCCTCCATTTTTGCAACTTCAAAGCAGCCCAATTTGCTGTAGAAGTCCAACATTCTTTTATCGTTTTGCCTCACTTCACAAAAGGCACCATGGGACCCTGTGAAGAGAAAAGGCATTTCAGTCAGCACCAAAAAATTATGCTGTTAAAATTTCAGCGCAGATTTCTGAGCCATCATTAACCCTATAATTGCTATGTAATTAATGCAGAATTGACTTTTCAGTTTCAAAAATTTACGTTTTTTCAGTCTCATTTAAACTCCCTGAACTTCATCTGTAATTTTATAATTACAAGACCAAGAAAATAGTTTGCAATATCTGTCTTACTCCAAACCTTGTTTATGTGATAAGTAGGAGTGACTTAGGTGAGACCACCCTGACAGATGAAAGACACTTGATAGACATTCCTAAAATTTCAGCCTACACAAATCAAAGCTTTTAACCAAAGCCAGTACAATATAACATTTTTACCAAAACTGTCACATAGTGTGGAGAAAAAATGTGAAAGTCAAGAGACCCATGCTTTTAGTATGCAGAGAGTTGTTGCATCAGATTGTTTGCATCAGGCAAATAAACCGGTCACGATAACCTTGCAGCTAGGCTGGAAAAAATTAGAAGAATCACAGCTCCAGTGATTCACCTACCATTGGCTTTCAGTGACGAAAGCAGGCAGCCCATCATGCTCTTGGCCACACTAGGGTCAGTGACCTTTGTGTGGATGTCCACTTTGATCAGAGAAGGGAAATTGCTGAGGAATGATTCAGGCAGGCCCTCCTGCTCTTCATGGAAACTCAACATCATTTTCTAGAAACCAGGAAATAAAACACAAAACACATAGTAATAACCATATAAATGACTATGAGGCCATAAAAAATATTTGATAGAATTTGGCAGCAGTGTGGAGTAATGCTTAGGGCTCCAAACTGAAAAGTCTAGGCGCAACACTGATGGCTTCTGTAAAATTACCAGCTCTATATGTTGTTAACTTTCCTGATTGCCATTAAAAAAAATCTAAATTGTATTAACTACTTTTACTTGAAAAGGACAAAAATAGTTTATGTTAATAAATCTAGTTTACTAAAAATAACAATGAACTCTTAATTTTTAATTTTAAGTAATCTTAAGTTTTAATTTTTTTAATTATTACTGATGTAATTATTTTGTGTATCACAAAATATATATATAACACTGATGGTATGATTTGCTCCCTGAGGCCACCCAGATGATACTGACCTCTGCCTCAGAGAGATCTTTCTCAACATCTGGTTTAATGTATTTCTCCTGCATCGTTGGGATCCAGCTCATCTTGCACTTTTTCACAAAGGGTTTGACGTCAACTGTCCCAAGAGCGTAGCCACAGATTCCTTCTTCATCCTCCAGGACAAAGCCATAGTCTGGGCTCAACGTCAAGAAGCCTCCCACTAACCTGAGTGACAACAAATTAACACTGTGAAGCATTCATGTGGTATCAGTTTAAATTTCACATTTAAAGTTAAAAAAAAGTTCTTACAGTTCAATGTCCATGATTCAGACAATGCACATACGTCTGCTTTGCACATAAACCCTTCATTGCCAAGCTAGCACAGTCTCATATGAATTAAATGCATTTCTATTAGGTTACTTCTGCAAAACTAAAAGCATTTGTATATGAGAAGAAACACTCAGGTTACATTTTCTGTATTGTGCAGAATTTGTTCAAGGAGTGCGGTCTAAAACTACAGTTAAAGTAAATAACTATTAAATATTAGTTAAGCAATGATGCAAAACCCCTAAAATCTAATTAGTCAGAACTTACCTGTCTCCAATTAAATCTGGCTGCTCAGAGAAAGGAACCCCATCTATTCCTTCGTTAAATATTTCTCTGCATATCTTGTACACAGCAGGCTGGGAAAAAGAAAATCAATCAACAACATTTTAGAAGACTACAAGAAACACAGTGGTTCACACAACTGTTTTCAACACAGGCCCTCCCAGGAGTCCCCCACACAAGACCAGCTTTCACTCTTGCCAACTCTGAAGATGGATTCAAGTAGAGCGACTGCTGACAAGGCACAGTTCACCATAAGCATCTCAGCTGAACCCCAGGGCAGAAACCAGAAAGTAATTGGGGAGAAACAGATTCTAAAGATTGTTTTTATTCTGCTGCTGAAGAAGCCTTTGAAATTGTTCTGTAAAAAAGTTTTTCATTTAATCTTTTGTAAGAAACATACATCATACTTTCTACATTATTAATAACTGTATAATTCCAACTAAAATATTCAAAAACGGTAACATAAAGAGCATTTTACTACTTTATATAAAAGGCTTTTTTTCATGTTCTTGTTTTTGTTCCAATTAAAGAAACTCCTACAAAGCTGCCAAAAACTGATTTAAAAGTGACACTTAAAAGTAGCACAGAAGTAAGCCATCTGCAAAAACAAATCTAACAAAATTCAAAACATACAACTGCGAAATTACCCTCAAAGAGCCCACTTATGCACATCAGTGATTTAAATGATGAAACAGTCTTAGACTATCATCACAAAACCTAATGAAATAACAGTACACATGAATTAGAAAGTTAAATCCCACTAACCTCATCTTTTGCAAAGTATGGCCTTATGGAATAAATTTTAGAGGTTGGCATAGCAGGCGGAGGCTGGTAGAAAAGGTCATTTGCCCCATCAATTGGCAACAATCGCTGTGAAAATTAAATATTATTTAGGAAACTTGGCATATAAATGCAGCACTGCCTTGATCTGCTGCAGTGCTTGTCCTTACAACATTTAGTCTGCTATTGCTGTACAAACCTTATACCAAAAGGGCTAGCTAGTCAATCCCTGGACTGACATCGGTTCTAAGGAGCCCACGTGGATAACACTGAAATGCCAGTTTTTTTTATGGTGTTTCAGTTTGTAACATCAATAGCAAATTTGAACACATTTCTAGAGCTTTTTATCAGAGCAGGTAATGCAAAATGATTTGAAAAAGGAAAACAAAACATCTGAGTGGAGAGGCTTGGTCTGAAAAGGGACTAACTGGCTAAAGGAGATGCTCCTTCCCATTTGCAAGGCATCGCAAATCGCTGCGCCAACATTCCTGTAGAGAGAAGCAATGATGCAGGGGCAGGAGGGTTTGGAAAACTCCATGAACAAACTCCGATAACACAAACAACAGAGCTAATCCAAGTACCATGTCAATGGAAATTGTAACTTTGAAGTTAATTATTTTTAATCTACCCAAAGCATAACAAAATCAGGTGTGAGGAATGCACTATACCGAGAGCTGGGTAGGAACGGTATTTCTGTCCTATTGATCATGGAGCTCTCTCGCAGGAGCGCATGCTTGCGTACTCGCAGGCGCATCAGTGCAAACGCTTGCGCAAGGGGATAATTAGCGCTGTGCTTCCTGCAAAGAAATGAGATGTCATGAAAATAAAACCCTAGCCACGCTGCGCTCTCGCTGGCGCCTGGGAAAAGCAGAATCGCCTTTGGGCAGTCGCTGAAAGAAATCAAACTTGAAATTATTTTAATCAGATTAGGATTATCATCATGCCAAATCTTTATTTTGGGGGAGTTAATCCATTCCCCCTTATTTAAAACCTTTAACAGTGTAATTTTATTTCAATTTTAAATACTCAGCTATGTGAGAATTCTGGGCTTTTATTATTCCCACTCATGTTATGGTTGTTTTACATGGGAAAGGATTAATAACCATTAGGGCCAAAACAGGAAACAATCAGCACACCTTCAACAGACCAATCCTTCCGTATCAGTGCCATACCATTGCTTTTAAATTGAACAATCAGTTGTGAATTCAATATTGGATACCTGGAACTCTCCTGCTAGACCGCCCCTAAAGGCCCAAGGCTCTTGGTCTCCACTTAAGAACTGTGCTGATGATTGACTACGACACCCTGTTGAGATCAGATCCAAGCGGAGAACGTTACGTGAGGGGGCGCTTTCCGAAAGAACGAGGGAAAGGGGGACTGGGGGAAGAAGTGTCTATTTCCAATAACTTCAAAGAAAATTCAAGTTAGCCTTAAACAGTTCTATTGCTTTTCCCTATACATACTCAACTGAACTACAGAAGTGAACCTTGGGGCTCTAACAACTAAAGCTTACACTTACATCAAAAATAAATCTGAAAAAAAAATCAGATCTAAAATGTGTTTGAAATACTGATCTATAAGAGACCCTGGCGCAGCACTTTCATTTACAAACATTACAATGCTACTGTTATTCTTCTGTGCATGCATGCACATTTGATACATCTTATATATCACAATCAAATTCTCCAAGGATTTTTTTCAAACTATTTAAATAAAATAATGTATAATACTGGACCAGTTTAAAAGACTGCTACAGAAGAGCCTTGTGAACATTTTGAGTTTATTTAGAAAATCTTCAGTTCTTTTAAAAGAACGCTGTCAGGTATCTATTTTTTTTTTGCATTTCTTAAAAGCTTTCAAAAACAAATTTTCAATATTATCTCATGTGAAACTTCTTCTTACAATTAATCTGGAGATGAAGATAATGTAAAAGACAATCCTAAGTGTGGTTTATTGAATAAGAGTCAAAATTACAGGGCACATATTTCCTTCCACAGTATTATGTGAAAACCTGTGTTGCAAGTGAGAACCTGTCTTAGATTTGAATAAACAAGGGGAAATCACCAGAAAGGACTGTTATGAAGCTAGTATGCTTGAATCATTAAAGCCCCTGAATTATCACACTTCATCTGAAGTCACATTTTAAAATATCTGTCTTGTCACATGACTACCAAAAATGAAGATCAAACCCATGTTCTGCTAGAAAATGCACAGAAACAGCATCTTTGTTTCAGATCTTTGGTCAAAATGTTCCAAACCAACACTAAAACTCGGAGACAATTCAATCTGTATACAGGTCAAGGGTCTGCCACTGTTATGGTACAGACATAATCAAATATGAAACTGAAGGCAGGGGAAAAGGTAGCAAAACTGAACCATCCGACAGGTACACCTATTACTTCATTTAAATATGAAAAGGTTCAACTATAGATGTCAACTAGTCTCCTTCTGATTTTTTAAGATGAGTACTACAAAGTTAAGGGGTATCTCCTTTTCAAGTCATGCAACAGGACGTATGCAGCGCAAAGGCAGGATAAACACTCCTGCACCAAATTTGATTCACCAAAACCTAAGCGATGAGCTAGCAAGACACAACCCCTAAAAGCACAATTTAAGAAGAATTCAAACTTTAAAAAGATCCCAAAAAACACTAGTGAGCACAACGCATTGGAAATTCAGTTTCTCAAAAGAATTAGGCCATTTTTCTTAGTTTCAACATGAAAGGAGAGTAGAGGGGAGACTTCTGAGAATCTTAAAAGATCTCTATGAATTCTGCTTAGAAGGCACATTAGAGGCTGTGTCAGAATTAGCTCACTAGGCCTAATAATAGAAAAAAAACATGTTAGGGTAAGCTGTCAGAGGAAAAAAAAAGTTATTTCTTATTTGAAATTTCGCTGCGCAAATGTGACTTCATTTTGAATACATTCTAATCTTACTGAAGGACAATAAGTTCTGTAAAATTCTCATATCACACTTAAATAACTAAAAACCCGTAACAAAAACGCCAGCACTGTGCATACATCGGCCATTGTCCCTCCAATAGCAGTAGAAACTTGTGCAGAGGATTCTTCCATCTGTACACAGTGAAGGAAGAAAACAATAGAAGAGGTTATTAGTAATTGTTCAAAGCACAAAATCAGTGACACTGACAGTCTGCTGTCTGCACTTGTTCAATGGGGGACAAAGCATGGACTACCCCAAAACTTTGATGGACAAATGTGATCTGCTCAAACAAACATAAGATAGGTCACATTTACAGGGAGTAGGTTACTAACGCCTCAGTTCCAGCTTCAAATCTAATCTTCTAATTAAACTTTTTTGTAAACTTGCTAGGTAATAGTTCCCTTTAAATAAAAAACCTGCATTAAGCATCTATTAAAATAATATTGGTCCCAAAGGCTATAATGATGAATGAATTCTCCCTTCTTTAAATGGGAATAATTAAGTGATGGGTTTTCCAAACTGTTGCGAAGTGCTTCATGTTTATACATGAAAGCCACACCATCTCTCAAGCCTATGGCATAAGTGTGAGACATGAGTATCAGGATAGGGGAGATGAATAGTTACATAAACATAAAATGTTTACATACATAAACATAAAATGGCTGTTGTGTCTATGACCTACTAGTATTTTTTAAAAAGGTCCTGTTGTATCCATCACCCTTAAATGATGTTCTTTACTTTGACCTGAATATAATTACCACATGTCCATCTCCTAATCCACCCCACTGCATTACTCAATATTGTTGTACCAAACTCTGTTTCTGCAGTGGTCCAACCAGCTTCTATTGCTGCCTGCTGTGTAAATAATTGCAAGTCCTCAGCTTTCCTTAGAGCTGGCTAGAAACCTGTGAATGAAATGAGGTTACTACTGTAACCCAGGCCATGCTGGTGCTTTAAAGAATCTAAGCTGCTTCCAACAGTGATACCTCATTTTAAATCCAATTGATTCTAACTGTAGCAGTGCCCAGTACTTTTAGATTCAATTTCCACTGGTCAATCATCTTATGTGCTTAATTGACAGCTGTTATAGACAAACAGCTCAGAAATCACCAAGAACAAAACATTAAGTTTAGTAACCATTGCTTTGTGTAGAAGAACACTGTGATTAAAAGTGAATACAAATAAGCCCTGGGTACACTTCTACAGTTAGGAAATCAAAAGCATAGAGGATCTCTGTGGTGAGCTTGCAATTGCCTGTATCTTTAAAAATACACTTCTTCTCACCAGATACAATCTGGAAAGAAGATGTGGAGAACATATTCAAAGACTGATGGTCAATCCACCAGACCAGAGGCTGAATTACATTTATTTATCTTTAATTTCCCCCCTTAACCTTTTAGACTTTTGCACCAGAATAGCCTTACAGAGCCTTCAATTTGAAGCTCGCATGCGCGCTAGGGCGGAAGGGATCGACTTTCCTTCCTGACCAGGCCCTTAATCAAGAGAGAGAGATGACAGCAGGTGTTACTGTATATACACAGCAATGTTACCGGACACAGCAAGCAGCAGGGTCTACTGGCATGATGACCACCGTTCAGTTTCCAATGTTTTTCCATTGATTAAAGCTTCCTGAAATTGCTGTGTAACAGCAGGATTGAGCTGGGCATTGGCAATGAAAGGAGCAGGCCTACAGTGCAGTCAGCATTCAGTCAGGCAGAAGAAGGTTTGTACACAAAATAAAAATATATACAATGCAGCCTGTAACCCAAACTAGTGAATATATTAGCCCAAGAAATGTTAAAAGGTTTGTCAAGTGAAGGTGTGCTAGAAGTGTGCATGTACATGTGAGACTTTACAATTGGCACCTTTAAAAAAATCTCATCTGTTGATTTAAAAATAACACGTCTTTCTGTTAAAATGTAAAAAGGCTTTGCAATGTTCAAAAGACATTATTTTGAAATGAGTAATGTAACACAAGAACCAGTTTTTAAATGACAGTTGTCATTCCAGAATTTCTCAACAGAAATGAATGAACTCTGAGACAGAGCCAAATGTTTTCCAGTAATGTGTAATAAGAGATTATCTTTCAATCTTAAAGAATGTATCTGTTCTAAAAAACTACAGGCTTTTCAATGGCTTGTTTTATTTCATGGGCTAATGAAAAATGTAAAGCCCTGCTATTGTCACAAGCATGGTATCTGGATCTATACCTACCTAACCACTGAACAAATGATTTCACCATTGAGATGATACTCTTTATATCCCAGATGTAGGGATATAGATCGTAGAGTATTGTCCTGTTGGCAGAGTTTGAGAGTCGGGTGAACATTTGGATGACTGAACAACACATTTCCTCAAATGTCTCCGCACGTGACTGCCATTCTGCAACCTGCAAAAACCCACAGAAGCAGACTTTAAAACTTCTAGAAACATGGCACTTGTAGTGTTTTGTAGCATTTACGATTATTGCTGAAACCTGCGCTACAACAGCATACACCATTTTATATAGTTAACTCATTTCAGATTGTGTTAATCAGAATAATTTCTTTCATTCATGTGTTAATTCAGAATCATTCATTTCTTGATGGACAATTTCTAAAACTCATCTGGCACAGTGTACTCCATTCGGTTTCAGGCACCAATACCATCTTTGACTAGAACCAATATGAAACAAGATTCATACATATTAATTTTCATTTTGAAAACTTTTTTCCAAGGTAATAATAGCTTCGAACTTACTTTACACTTAACCTCGAGTATGCATTAAGTTAGGTATCCCATTACAGCCCAATCACTTCATTTAGGAAATGATGTTAATAGAAAACTAAACACTAAAGTGTCAAAACGGCGTCCATGCTCACCTTTTCAGGTTCCTTCCTTTTGGAGTTGACACTGACGACACTGCTGTTGGCCCTGAGCCAGTTGAACTCCTTCAGCATCTGCACAGCCTTGGGACCATGCTCATAGGGTAGGTAGAAGAGCTCTGCCAGAAGAGTGAGGTCCTCCAGTGTCAGCGCCTCTGCTGTGTACAGGGGCTTCTCATTGGGGCCTGGCACAAAGGTCTCTTTGTTTAACTGATCGTCAGTCTGCATGGGGGCAATGTCACTTCCCGAGTCCTCCTGAATGGACATTTCTGGGGACTTGGACTCCGCAATGCTCTCTTTGTCAGTGTCCATGGGCTTCAGTTCCTCCGTCATCTTTGCCTTCACGATTTCTGTCAGGATCTGGTTGACATTCTTGGTGTCTGGTTCATCCTGCTTCTCCACCACCATCTCCATGGGTTCTTCGTCTGACTGCAGCAACAACTGCTCCTTCTTCTCCACCTCGACCTCTTCCTCCTCTTCCTCCTTGCCCAGTGGCTGGGGCTCCTCACTAAGTGCCGCCCCCTGACTCATGATTGGCTGCTGGTAGACAGTGGTCACGGTTGTGGAGGATCCAAGATTTGGTGCCCCTAGGGAGGCCACATCTAGAGCTGAACTCTTTGCTCCACTGTGAGGTACCTGCCGACCTATCAAATAGAAAGCCAATCATGTTCATAACTGAGCTTCTTAAGTCAGTTAATAAAGAATCATGCTCCATCATTTTTCTTATCTATATTTAAATCCCCACCTCCCTGCCTATCTTTTAACTCAGAAACGTAATAAAAAAACAAGATGCTACATACTGTTATACTGATGAGGCACTCCAAATTCCCCCAGCCACTCTGTTAGGGCAAGTTTGAGGGCCAGCTGTGGACTGTAGAGCATATCTGTCTCTAGTTCTTCATCACTCCCTTCATTCTCCAGCTTGATCTGAATAGACACTGTGCTGTCCTCAGTGTCTGCTGTGAGAAAAACACACAACAGAACAGCGTGATAAGGGGCAGCTCATACCAGTGGCTAATGAAGCCATGCAACTCTGGCAGGGCCTAGACCAGGGGTGGGGAACGTCCGACCCGAAATCATTTGGTCTGGCCCTGCTAAGGCAACCGCAGGCATAGAGCCTGGCGATAATTCGATAACGATAATTATCGCGATATAATTTTCCTCGATATAATTTTAACAAAAGTTCGATAAATGTTCATGCTTTGCGCATGATACGTGCATGCGCGCTAAATACTGCGTGAGTGTGCGTGCGTATTGCAGACCGGGCAGCTAATAGATTTGTTTAATGTTTCTGCTGTTTGGCAATTGATGTGTTCTTAAAATAAAGAGATGTTTAATTCACCAATTAACTGTCTGGTTTCTTCAACTTTCACTCAGGAGAAAAACATCTGCCTTTAAACTTGAAAGAAATAATGATTTGACATTTATCCTGATAATTATCGATATCAACTGATACAAAAATTTTTATCATGATACTGTTTTTGGCCATATCGCGCAGCCCTACGCAGGCGGGACTTGAAATTCAATAAACCAAGGAGCTTTTTTCATAGCAACATAAATTAATATTAAGTGAATCATAATAATAATGTAAATTTTGAGGGACAAGCAAGGACCGTCCATTACAGGATAGACAGGACACATACGAGTACATGACGGGACAGACACGCATGTTTCTCGCCGTCTGCCCGCGGCACGTCTGCCTGTATTGCGGTGACTCGGAGGACAGTCAGTGGCAGGCAGGCTGGGAGTGCACGCGTTGCGAAAGTGTTAACTCACTGTGTTTTACGAACTGTGGGATGAAGTCAATTAGTTCATGGAAGTGAAGGGAAAACCTGTCAGGAACTCAATGATAGCAAGTGGCTGTTTGACTGACTGCGCTCCAGACTGACCGACGCAAACCTGGAAAAGCAGTTGCAAGTAGCAACATCATCAATACCAGCTAACATCACATGCCTCACCAAAGAGAGGCAGTTCCAGCCATCACATTAGGGGTGAGTTAATTAAATGTTTGACCAAATATAGCAGGCTAATTTTTAAATTGATCATTTTGTATGGCCCGCGAATTATGTTATAAATATCCAAATGGCCCTTGGCAGAAAAAAGGTTCCCCACCCCTGATCTAGACTATTAAGCCAGTGCATGATTAGTAGAGGATATTTGTCACATGCTAAATGTTCAGTTATATTTCAATGCTGTCATCTTCAACGATGGCCTTGTATACAACAAATGAGTCACCACGTGAATGTACTTTAAAGCCACATATATTTTTTAAAATGGGCTACAAAGTGTTACAGAGAGCAAACAAAAAATAAGCTAAACTACTAACGAACTTCCTATCAACTCAATACACAGCAGTACTTACTCATAACAACATCTTTTCGTACTCCATTCATGTTGGATTTGTACCAGGTGGCCAGGGTATGGATGGCCACAAAGTTGGATTCAAATTCACAGTTGGGGTTGGTAAGGACCCCCTTAAGTCTGGGAATGAGTTCTGTGGACCTCCCCTTATATGGACCCAGGAAGAGTCTCTTTTGGTCATAGTCATTGGCATGAATGTTGTCCCAGATAACTGGAGCCCTCTTCAAAATTTTGGATACCTCTTCAATGGACTCCACTGTAATGTCTTTTGACACTACTTTAGGACCTGTCAAAACCATTCAGAATTTATATATGATTAAAACCCACACACACATCACACACATTCCAAAACAATGTCCCGAGTTCTATACTACAACAGAAGTAAAGCCACGCAAAACTCTACCTTTTGTTTACCAGCTAAAATAGCACATAAAATACTAAGAGTGTTTTCCTTAATATTAACAACACAGCAATGACGAGAACATTTTCTGATCCGTAGAACAATGCATTATGAATCACAACAAATAAAACAGTGGAAAAATTGCATTTCTAATGTATCCTCACCTGTCCACAGCACCTGAATACCTGGAAGAAGCTTTTCACCAACAGTCCGCAGATAAGGGGATTGAGATACATTTGGATAACAGAAGGTTCCACAGTATTCTGTTATAGACACACAAAATAAATTAAATATAGTAAAACAGTTAAGCTGTTCAGTGTATATGCTTTTCATACCAATATCTTGAGAGAATTACTAGGATTTTTTTGCTAACATATATGTTAGTGATACATGATACATGTAAAAGTTTAGTTTATTCCTTTTTTAATTGCCACCAGCAAAAAAAAAAATCAGACATTAATGTTGTAATTTTTGATAAGGTCATCAGATTATAGAAAATATGTGACAAGGCCTCCACATTAGCTTCATGCTGTTGAAGCAGCACTGTCCATGAGAATACTTGGTTATAGCTAATTTAACTTTCTAAAATGGGGTGGAAACCCCAGTCATGAGAGCAATGAGAGATCACATCTCAACATGCTTATATTCTCACCTGTAGGGCAGAACAAAAAAGACTCAGGTTCTCCCAAATACTGAAAGATCTCATTTGTGATGGAGACCTGGGCATGTGCAAATGAACTGAAAACCTCTTTGTCTGCTGGGCACATGTTGTGATCAATGTCATCAAACAACAAAGCAAAGGACTTGCATCCAAACTGAGAGACCTAGCAAAAGAAAGATAAGCTTGGAATCAAAAACACTTCAGTCTCCAAAAACACTTACACTGGGCACATGTTGAGCACTCAACATTGGTGACACAGATGCCATGAGTTCAAGTGTGGGTCATATTGTGCAGATTTGGCCCAGTGCCAACAGGGATATAGTGGAGATTAGTCACAGTTCGCTAGGCTCCCTGTGAAACAGCAGCTGCCGTGACTTCTTAGCTGCCTAAAGACTTGTGGTGATGTCACAGAGGGAAACACCACCTCTCCACTTGGCCAAGGGTGCCTGCCAGCTGCTGGTGGCAGCAACCAACCTCAGAGGTGCACTGCCAACATGATCAGCAGTGCCAAGGTACGCTGAGCACAGGGAGCAGTTGAGAAATGGTACCCCCCCCCATAGGGAGGACTCTGGACATTTCCCCATAGAAATTGTTTCCCTTTTTTATACATACCCTTCCTAAAGCATTACGAGATTATTTTTTACACACAATGCTTTCCCCATTTAAGAGTGCATTTGAAAATTACTCAATTCAAGCAAAACAAACTAGTCTCTTGAAAACATTTGTCAAAGCAAATGCCTTCTAGGACTCTTAAAACTTTTTTCAGTGATTCAGATCGTATATCTACAGTACAAGAACTACTCTGCACTGAAGCTCTGCAATTCAATGCCGGTTCTAATTCTGATTATTTTGATTTTAAAGTCTTTCAAATTCATTTATCTGTACTCTGAATGTCTAAGATGTTTTGAATATAACTATTTTCTTTTATAGTTCTAGTTTACAACATGGGGGTAACGAGTTTAATTTCTTCTTTGTATGCAATTAACAAGAGAACTCTGCTACATCAAAAGTTTGAACATACACATATTGTTTTGTGTTCTAATCAATTATACACTCATATATACAAATGACAGTCTGTAAATTGTACAATCTGAAACAAACAACAACCACAAGTGTGAATGATCTTGTTTTAGTTGACTTCCTTGCTAATTCTCCCAGAACACTATCACTGGATTATATTCAGGATCCGATATCCATTCTTGATCCATCATCAAACAGTCACTAATTCCTAGTGTGGCTCACAGGCACCTGGACCCAACCCTGGAAGCACAGGGAACATGGCAGGACCACACCCTGGACAGGATGCCAGTCCATTGTAGGACACAGACTTATGGACAATTTACAGACTGTTTGTTTTTTGTACTTTTTCTGAAACCTTCCAATTACTTATTTAGTAAGACTTTGTGAGGTGAAATTACTCCGTTGTTTTAAGATTGTTTAAAATAAACTGAATTCAAACAATTGTGTAAAAAAACAAATGAACAGAGCAGTTTTGCTGCCCAGCTTGTAACTTTGTTTCAGGATTAACAAGCACACACTAGGTACAGAATACCAAAGTTTTAATAATGTGAAAAAACACTCTTCCATTTTTTAAATAAAATGTGTAGTTTTATCGTAAAAAGTTAAGTTTGACTGAAATATTTTTTTTTGGTCAAAGAACACCCATGCAATTGGTGTAGATGCAGAACATGCCTGTGCTCCTATAAATGTAGAGCTTGCAAACTGTTAAATAATAAAAGACTCTAAGGAGCCCAAGCGCCCTCTTTCACACACAGTTGTAAATTGGGGGCCCACATATAGTTCCTACCTCTGATTTCATGTTGCATGGAAACCTGAAAGCTATAAAATGGCATAAAATTCTAATAACCCAAATTAATCAGACTTTTAAATTGAAAAGAAGCTTAAAATCCATTATTTTAAAGCTATCCATTGTTAAATTAGAACATATTAAAACACAGGAATATCACCCTACAACATCTTAACACCCACTGCCACACTGGATCAATTTCAGTAGTTTTACATGTTGCTCCTTGTACATTTCTGCTATATATCCAATTTTAGATAGAGTGGGAGTTAAGTCTCTAAAGAGCTTATCTAAAACACCAAGACGTACACAAACTCACCTGATCTAACTTCCGCTTTAATGTTGAAACTTCTTTCTGGTTGGAAAATGTTATATCGAGACCAGGGGAGATAGCGTAGATAAATTCAATTCCGTGCTCCTTTGCAGCAGCAATAAGGGTCATAAGTTGCTCTTAAAAGGGGATAAAATAAAATGTTTAGATGTTATCTTATTAACATTCATACGATAACAGACTCAGCAGATTATGAACTGTGCCACATACTATGACATGAAAAATACCAACATACACATAGGTATTTCCTAATCCTAGGATCTCAATGTGTCTTATACAATCTAAGATCTGATTTAGTTCTTACCTGCTTCTTCCACTGAATACATCTCCCTCCAAAACATCCTGTGCTTATAGTCATCTTTTGGTGCATAAAGATATGTATTCAGTCCCCATTTCTGTAGTCTGAATAAAGAAAAGAAATGCTGCCTTTACACAATTTCATCAATAAAACAGGCAGTGGAAATGACTGCTCCACTTTCCATTAATAGGACAGATCTCAACTTGACACTTTTCTTTATCATTTACATGATAAATGTAAACTAACATAGGGTTAGGGATACATTTTGAAAATGTCTTTGCAGGACACAATCACAAAACAGAAAGCTATTTGGTGATTTCTGTGATGGGCAATGATGGGCCTCAAAGGCCGGAGGGGATCGTAGTTTTCTTTCCACATGAGCTGTCAATTACTTGACGGACGTGAACAAAATACTTCTGCTTCACAGCTCCACTGTGCTGCATTGCATCCCAACTGGGGAAGAGTTTTTATGACCCCCCTCCCAGCATCTGAATGACGCTTTCATTGGGTGCTCCGATTCCTTCCCGCCTCCCAAAGTCATGCGCAGACTACTCTAAGTTAGTTCAAGGGAACTGCATACTTGCAGGATCATGTTTCAAGTACAATCAGTATTGTCTACATGTCAATCGACCTAGTAAATGTGCAAAACCAGGATCAAGGCTACCCAACACCACATGACAAAACACTAACCACATCATATAAATGGTTCTAAATGCCCAGGTATATCCAAATCAAATAATACATGCTAAAGTCGCCACTGGAAGGTGTGTTACACGAAATGTTCACTATCTGGAAATGGAGACATACAGAAGTTCTCACACGCAGCCGTTTTACAATCCAGAGTTTCAATGCACATGCTGAGAACAGTGTCTAAATTTGCATTTATCATTTATTCATCGGTTTTCTAACTGTCTTCCAATTCAGAGTCTAAAGGGAGCCGAACCGGTTCCCACAAGTACACCATGGATGGGACAACAGTCTATTGCAGGAGAGACACGCTCACTCACTATTATGGCTTTCCCAGAAGGCAACTAAACATTCATAAACTACCAGTATGTTTTTTTGGATTGTGGGAGGAAATGGGAGCCCCCAGAGGAAACCTGTGTGAACACAAGTGTAACACAGAAACTCTGCACAGACAGTACCCCAGGTCCAGAACTGAACCTGGGGCCCAGTGCTGTGAGGCAGCTAACCACCACACCACTTCCATTTATCATTTAGTTTTATTAAATATATTACTTTAATAGTCATGCCTTTCTGTACGTATTTTCTAATTTTCACGATAGATTATATACAGTCTTCAGCATTTCCAAAGACAGAATTAACTACTCTGTATTGCCATTTGTAAGTAGAATACAAAAACTGTTTGTACAAAAGTTTTGGATATGTGATTTTCCCAAAAAACAAATTATATGAAATCAGAAGATGGATTTTATCAGAATGTTAAAATCTGACTTTGAAAAACTGGTAAATGCCCATTACTAACAGTTTGAAATCTACTGCTTGTGCTACAGTAAGCATACCAGGAAGACAATGCCTATTATGCTACTTGTAGAAAGTACGGTCATTCAGATTAGGATAATTTATAGCTCTTCATCACTGGATCATGCATCATAAATCTTTAGACCTTAAAAAATACAAATACCAACAGGTTACCTCCTGAAAAGCTCTTTCCTTTGTTCCATAGTCCATGGGCGCCCATAGAAACCTGTGCAAAACAGAAGAGCACCAGTGTTTTTTTCTTACTCCCATGGCAAAACAACATTCTTATCACAGCAAGCAGCTGACAAGCACCCCTCAAAACCACTGCCAGCACACCTAGCATACATCAATATGGCTGCTTTTCGCAAAGGCAGTTTTTCAATTTGTAAAATGGCAGTTTTTAGTTTGATATAGGATTGCAGCATGCCAATATACTGTAAGGCATGGAAGTGGAAACTTTTAGTGGTAATAGAATTTTTAGCTTACTGGCACATGAGGAAAAAGCAGAGGTTCATTCACTGTTAGGTGGAAATACACTTAACTATATTAATGGAGAGCATAAACTAAAAATGCATTGACATCGGAGAGGCTTGGAAACTGGAAATACTGAGAAAAATAACAGATTGCAGCACCAATACCTGACCCGATTTCCGTAATCACACACAAACCCAAAGGAGCATAGAATGTTGTAAAGCCTTTATTTCGTCTGGATACAACGATTTAAAACCCAAATATGATATTCAGTGGGAGTTTATATAGACCATAGTTTGTACTAATGTAAAATGCCATAAAATAAATATCACAGAGCACATTATATTAGCATATTGTACTCTCAATCTGAGCTTCTCTAGCAGAAAAGCAAAGGCACAAAGAAATGCTCTTTTGAAGAACTCGATAACGCTGCACGCCACCTGTACAAGAAAGAAAACTCTTAATTCCACAGGTTATATAAGCTTCTCATAAATTTCATCCGTGAACAGGAGAGCCCTATCTCAAGATACACGGGAAAATACTTCTGCATGCAATTCCTTCTTGTTCTTAGCTTCAATAAGAAGTAAAAACGTCGGGGACTAGTCACACGTAGTCGCAACAAATTATTTGAACACGGAACACAAAGCAACATCGCACCCCAATAGCAGAGGAGCAACACTAACTAAATCCTAACGAAAGCTAACAAAACGGGACGTTTTTTTAACCCGATATGCTACGATACCCACATTAGATTAGCTACCATTTTGCGTATTCAACAAAATAAAAACGTTTAAACGATTCGATAGTAAAAACACAATTAAGAGGTGTATTTAGTGGTAATACATGTCTCATTCAGCCATGACACAGGCTCCAGATTCCTGAATCCCTTTGTGTAAATAAGTATCCCCTTGCCGCAGTTCTAAGTGACTATCCCCCCCTCCAGAAAATAACAAGCAACATTAACCTTTATCAAGAGAACAAAGGTCAGTCTAATATTCGTGGATAGCTTGATAGGCCTACTGGATTCTTAAAAGGCAAAAAACATACGAATACATCCGGATACGCGTACAGACCAGCGATTTATCGTACACTGTGTATGAAAAATAAGACCCTACGCTTCCGGATGTCACAAAAATGATAACGATCACTATCTCGGCGTTCTTTTAGTATGGCAATGATCGAGCGCAGAAGTGACCGATGTGCTCCTCACCCTCCACCACGCCGCTGATGAATGTCCTGCGACCAGTGGTCTCGGTGCCGAGGCTGGGCTCCTCTATTTGAGTCGGGGCGTCCACCGCCGCCTCGGCTGCCAGGGGGCTGGGGGTCTGATCGCCATCGGCCGCCTGGGGCTCCGCCGCCTTCTCCTCCTGGACCATGGTCCGGGGCTGCGCGGGGCTGAACGTCAACGAAGTATGCGGGACTCTCGGCTGGAGAAGCGGTTAGCAGGCCATGTAGCGAAACGGTATGAAGGCAGGTGTCTGAGTCTCGGCTGGAAGACGTAACGGGAAGCTGTATTCGTCACACCACCTGGGAGTAGCAGTATCCGCACAGGCCACCCCTGGCAACGGGGAGACGTTTTAGTTCTTTCTTCAGAATTGCGTTGAGTGCACTGAGTTCTCGGCTAAAACGACAGTTATTAACGCCTTCTCGGAATTTTCCTCGTTTTCTTAGCTGCAGCAGAAGTATGGCTAAATTATTTAAGTCTAGAACATCAATCCTCCTTTTAAAATCTGTACATTGCGATCCGTCACCGGTGCTGTACGTATATCATCAGGCGAAACGTTACTTTTTTTCAATTATTTTCCGATTTTTATCGAATTGTTTTCAAGCTGCTCGTCTCCTCCGCTGTGCTCCCACCACTGCTTCCTGTTTACACCAACTGCGCAGCCGCAGAAAACCGGTTCAGACCAGTCCTAACCGGACAGTCCCAGGGAACCCACCAGGCATACGGATTTCAAAATGTTCAATAAGGCTGGTTTTAAAATATCAGCGTCGAAATGTGTTTCCAAATATTTTTTAGAAAATATAAAACACGAATAAATTATTTTAACATGCTGCTTAAAAAATCAACTCGTTGGTTCTTTGTTGTAGTCGAATTTGTACACATGCGCAGTATGGGTCGGGGAGGAGACGGGCATTTCTTAAAGGGACCGCGTCTTAATTAAACACAAGACAAAGCTGGGTGTGGGATTCTGAGACGCTCAGATTCATTTGCAATATCTGAAAGGTTAGAAAATGAGATGAGGCTATTTATCAACTGCTCATATGGTAAAATCCCATCGGGTTTTTTCTTGAAGGATTTAATAAATTCAGAGTGATTATTTGAGTACATTGCAGTATCCCTAGCTGTTATGTTCTGCTCTGAGAAAATTGGACAGAACCATAATTTTGAATTTTAATACCTGTCATCAGATGTTGGTGTTGAGACAGGATTTGTTGTTGTGCTGTAGGCTGTCAGAGGCGTAGAACTGCCACAGGGGACAAAAGTACCCTGACACCCCAAAAGTGAGACAACTCCCAACCAGACACTGACCTGGACTACTACTGTATACCAGGGTAGCACTTGATGAAATCCAAATACATAGTGTACATGTAAACTGGCCCTTTTCAGAACCAGAAAAATCAATACTGGGATTCCAAGGGTGTGTAAACCTGGAAAAGTTATCAATCCTGCTTTGATACAATCAGATATTTTCTCTTCATTCTTTACAGTCTCGATGTCAGCAGCTTTCCTAATAAGGGCACAAGATAAACATAATAAAAGGGTTCTTATATAGCTATGAGTTTCTTATAGATAAAGTAATTGGGGAAAGCCTCTCCCATCCTTGAATATTTCTTTGGTGAAAACATTGATGTTCCACCACCCAAACCTGCGTTATACAATCTTTTACACCTGGACGTCTTGATTTCCACCTTGATCTACCTGTGAGACTCTTTGGCATCCAGCAAAAGAAAAGCATGAAGTAAATGCAAGTTATTAGTTATCTCACTATTCTGCATCTCTTTGATTGCCCTGCTGTATGCAGCCTCTGTTTGGAAGATGTCCAGATATAGTGAAATGAAAAATGTGTCACTCTCTCCTTCCAAACAGGACAGACTTTGAAGTGTTCTGTCACAGCTGCGATTTTCAACACTTGTAACATATTGGGCATTTTATATAATATATGTGATTGGACATTAACAGACATCACATAAAAGATGATTTGAGAGGCTCACCCTCTGTTCCTCAGGCAGTGACTGGAGGATCGAGAGCTGATTCTGATTGTGGCAGGTGTGGGAATTCTGGGATTAGATTTGTTATTTTAGGGAAAACATTTTTTCTCATCCCATAGTACTTCCTGCAGTGCAGCAAAAAGTGCATCTCTGTCTTTCATTCTCCCTGCTGGCTATGAGAGCACAGCCTGTCTCTCTCTGGACTGCCAGGTCTGCCTGTGTCAACCAGTTTCTGTGGTCACTGAGCCCGAACTTCATCAGGGTCGATTTCTCCATAGGGCCTCACACCCAAGTCAGGAACTTCACCATTGTCTGTTTTCTTTCTAGGGTCCCGCAACACAGTTTGTGTTGTGTTTGTGTTCCAGTGGGTGAGGTAATGTTGTGCTGTGATCTGTTTGACTCTGATGTGTGTTGTAGCAGTGCTGTCCTGAGGCTGATTGGTGTCAGGGTGGCTCATGTCAGTGAGCTTCAGTGGACTCTTCTCTCAGCCTGCTGTGGCAAGAGTTCTGGTCACTTTTTTTTAGGTACAGCCAATATTTAATTTCTCTGTTATGTATAGTTATTAGCAATATTAACAAAGGATTGGCCTAATTCAGCCCTGTATGCATTGTTTGTTGTTTTCTGCACATGGAGACTGATTTTACAGAACTCTGTGTGCAGGACTTCTATGGGGTATCTATCCATCCCTCCATTTTCACTCTGCTTTTCCTGGTGACGATCACGGTTGCAGCAGGCTAAGTAGATCAGCCCAGACTTCCCTGTCCTCAGCAACAGATTCCAACTCCTCCTGGGGGATTCCCAGGTGCTCTCAAGCCAGCCGAAGTGTGCTAACACCTGAAGAAGGCTCCACGGCCGAAACGTTGTGTTTTCTTTCTTCTCTTTTCAGTATGGAATAAACCTATTACTTGTTCCTTTGCAGCCTACGCATGCTGACGCAGCTACCCACCTGAACTACATAAGTGGAAAGGACCTAGCCAGACTAGACCCTGGCAATGGGGTGTCTATTTAGTGTAATTTTTTGCTATCCCTGTACATAGATTTAATGATATCATAGACCTGATCCTCTACACCACTTAGAAGAAGATAATGGCCGTAAGAGTCCTTCATGCCTAACTGAATCAAATGCTTTTTTGAAATCAGTGAAGTAGGAAAATATTTTTTCTTTGTTTTCTTGGTGGACATTTTTGTTTGCAGTGTGTGTAAAGTTAAATGCGTAAATCGGACGTGTGGTATTTTGGAAGGAAGATGATCTGACTCTTATTTAGGACACTGTACTCAGTAAGGAAGGCCAATAGTTAGGCCTTCATGATACAGCAGAAGACTTTTCCTCAGGTTTACCGTTTGGTGATCAGTCCTTGACTCCAGACCTCAAGGAAACTCCCCTAGTATGAGATTGAACTGCTTGAGGAGAGCTTGAAGAAAGCTCAGAGGCTGTGTCTCAGCATCTCGTTGTTAACGCCATCGTGACCTTTCAGGGTCTGAGGGGCTGGAGTTTATATCGTAGTTCTGATTCTGTGATCGTTCTGTGATCTTTGGTTGACCTTTATAGTTAAATGTAGGATTTAGAGTGTGTCATGTATTGTTTAGTAGATATTTTCAAAATGCTTTAATAGACTTTTCCATTTCAGAAGGCCACTTCTTCTTGTTTGATTTATGTAATCATTTTTTTTCCAGAAGCAGTTTTAGGTTATTGATTCATTAATTTCTTAGAGCTGTCTGCTTGTGTGTGTTTCTTTTCTTTTTTTAAAGTATGCTTGTGGTGTTTTACCAGACAGTTTAATCAGACAGTTTTTCTTTTGCTTTTGGAATGTTTTTTTCTTTTTTCTTTTAATTTAAAGGCTGGTTTCTCAGATATGCCATCGAAATCCTTTAAAGCCAAATGCATGCCTGTTTTATTGGTTTTATACCAGATGTACGGGCATGAGATCAATAATGTCTGAATTCCTGATCATTCAGTGCTTGCTGGTATTCCTTGGTGCTTTTAGTGTCAGTGTGTCTTTGGGCTGTTGTGCTCTTATGATGTACAGTGTGAATTTGTTGTAGTTGGAGAAAGGAGTTTTTTGGTCGTTGTCGTAACCAGTTAAGGGTAACCATTGTTGTAATTTTTAATAGGTAACCTTTGCTGTAAGTTGTAACCAGTTAGCCAGGTAACCATTATCACAGTCTGTATCACGAAGTAGTCGGGAGTTCTCTAGCACTTCATAGAACAAAATACTGTAGTAAAAAATAGTAAATGCTGCTTTTCACGACCATACATGGTAAACTATTTTCCTAATGGCCGCCTGCCAGTTTCCCATGGAGACTTCAGTCTATCACATCCCAGATGTGTGATCCATTCGGCCTGTTCTTCTTGGAAATCCAAAATGGCCTGAAACTGCTGCCCTTAATTACAGCAGTCGGCCCAGAGAGAACTGCATTGGAGCTGTGCCAGTTTTAATTGCTTGTCTCAAAAGTTAGTGTTGCAGTGTCTGTTGGTATATAACATTTTTTTTTAAAATAAAGGGTTTTTCTTTTGTCAGGAAATCGAAACATTTGTGCTTGGTTTTATTTCTCTATCATGTTTATATTTATTTTCATTCTAGTTACTTATTGTAGGGTTTATGTTGCTTTTCTTGGCTCGCTCCCCAGACAGATTTTCATCTCAACACGATTTGCGGATGAAATAAATGGTTTTAAAAATGGAAGTATTCACTTGGTAGAGCCGGATGGAGCTGTGGTTGCATGTGTGAAGTGTTACTTCAAAATTGCCCCCCTCCACATTTAATCAAGCAATGTCAATTTAACAAGATTTAGCACAATATGTTAATCATATAGGATTTTACATAATCATACAATTTTGTTTATGAGCGCTTTTGAAACTCAGTGTGCTGTACAGTAAGCCAAATATAAAACATAACAGAAGTAAAGAAGAAAGAAAATACTATAAATCTGCTCAGTAAAACTAAAACTCAAACTTAATCATACATTAAAAGCTAGAGTGAAAAGAATAGTCTTTAAGCAAGATTTAAAATCCTGACACTGTCAGTCTTTAGTGGATTTAGGCAATGAGTTCCACAGACATGGTACTGCACAGCAGAAAGGCACTATTTCTCACTGTGTGGAGTCTGGTCTTCAGGAGAATAAGAGCGCTGTGTCTCTCACTGTGTGGAGTCTGGTCTTCAGGAGAGTAAGAGCGCTCTGTCTCTCACTGTGTGGAGCCTGGTCTTCAGGAGAATAAGAGCGCTCTGTCACTCACTGTGTGGAGTCTGGTCTTCAGGAGAGTAAGAAGGCTCTGTCACTCACTGTGTGGAGTCTGGTCTTCAGGAGAGTAAGAGCGCTGT